AATGTAAAAACAAATTATATGTGTGTATGCATGAGAGAGAGAAAGATGCACTTAGATAAACATATTTGGAACATTTGGTTTTCTGCTTGATTTATGTATGGTCTCCTGTGAAAGTCTCCCTGAGGTTTTTTAAGTGGTCTTTGAGTTATGGAGCACGGTATTTCCAGATTTACTTAGCATTGGTGCCACGCTATTTTGGAAGGAGGACAAATTATAGATAGAAGTAACTAAAATAAAATAAAATAAATGAGGATCACTCAGTAAAATGCAGGCCTTACCATTGAAAAAGATTAGGTATAATATAGTTTAGAATCTCTATGAGAAGCAAAACCAAAGCCTGGAAAACTTGGGATATCTAAAAGGAGCTGGAGAGGTGAGCTATATGTGTGCCCAAAAGCTTCATTTTAAATGGCTTTAGGAAACTTTAAAAGATATTTTGAAAAAACCCACTTCAATAAAAACAAAATGTTAGAAGTGTTTTTCTAGCCAGAAATTTCTTAGAGAAATATCCAAGTCTATGCTGCCTTAACCTATGGGAAGTATAGGCCTTAATTCAGCAAAGTGTTTAAGCATGTGGATAGTTCAGTACTTGTGTGGGTTTCAGTCAGAAGACTTTTTTTCCTTGGAGATGTGCTTAAATCTCCCGTTGAGCTGGAGCCATGCTGCCAGCTCAGCCCACCGTTCTTCTGTCCTCCTTTCATGCACGGAGCAGGTCGGTGGCACTGGGGTCTGCTCCTGTTGGCACCTGCCTTCTGCAGGGACCACAGTGACAGCAGGGCAGGGTAGCCCAGCCCTCTCCCCTTTTACACTCGTTCACCTGAAAGCAAGAAATCCAAGCATAAGCCCTCCCCTGATTAATTTAATTTAAAGCACTGCTCACAAGCTGTTCAGTAACTTTCTTAAAAATGTGAATGCGTGGGCTTCCCATACAGATATTCCTGTTAGGAAATGTGTTATACACCTTAGTGACATGCTGTCCTTTAGCATCCCAAAGGATGCCAAGGGCTATCACAGGAAGTGCTTCCCATGGCCGTAGCTCTTCTGGCAACACATGAGTTCTTAAAGCCTGTGTGGGAACCAAAGCATGGGCCAGAGAATCAGACTTTATATAGTGAGAGGAAATGGAAAAATCCCCTCTCCAAACAAAAAAAACCAATTTGCAGCATTTACATGTCAGCCACTACTTTTGAGTTTTTCAAGATGTTACAGAAATATCAGTCTTGGAAAAAGCAGTATTTCACTTCTTCTTTCAGAACAAGTTCCTCCAGTCTTGTCCTGGCTGATGGTTGCATAATACTTCATAAAATGTAGATATTAATGCAGAATTTAATTATACTCTTGGATTATTTTTCTCCCTCAGATTCTTTTTTACCATGACCCTTTTGCATCTTCAACTGTTTAGAAAAGGGAAGTAACAGGCTTGCTAACTAAGTATAGTGAGAACGTGTAAGTCACATGAGGTGTTAAATAGTCTGAATACTTTCTGCTTGCAGTTCATGTGAGGTTCAGATTGTGGTGTCTTTCTCAGGACCAAATCTGAGGAAAGTGGAGAGGATGAAAACAAATGGATTTGAATTTTCTTCTAGAGATTCCGTTGTGTAAGTGCATAGTTGCCAAAAATCCGTATAGCACAGCTACGTATTTATACAGCACAGTGGTTTGCTCTGGTTTGCTTCTGAGATTCATGTAGCACTGCAGTGGATGAAGGAAAGCAGAAGTGGAAGCAGAGTTCTTGTTGCTATTGGAAAGGAGGCAACAGATGGAGCAAAGAGAAAATCTCTAGTCTTTCTAGTTCACATTTTCTCTTGTCATCTAATCAGTTCCCACTGGGGTCTCTTCAGGTTGCAAAAAAATTACATCAAAGATCACACCTTATTATAATTCTATCAGTATTGTTTATTCTCTCTTATTTAGATATGTATTTTCACTTTTTGGGCCCTTAAGCACGTTGGTTCAGCATTTGTGCACTACACTGGTACAAAAGGATAAACACATGGCTACACTGGAGTTGGCTCAGCTGTACTGAAATGTGTCAGCAGAGGTCCTGACCCTTTCCATGCATGCAAACATGCCAGTGTGTTGGGAAACAAACACAAACCTCCTCCCTTTAAACATAAGCTCAGCTTTTGTGGAAAATTTCTGGATAATGTGAAGTACAATAGAGAGTTTTTGGCTCTACATGCTGTTTTAAGTGGAATTTTCAGTTTTCCTTATTTGATGTGATATTTGGGCTGCTTTGTCATCTTCAACTGGATGCATTTGTAATCTGAGAAACCTGAAATTGTGCAAATGTGACTGATTAAAATCTGCCTTATGAAAAGGATCATCAAATAGCCCATGTGGCTGTAAGGGGGACACATTTTGTAAGTACTGAACTTGGTTTTGAATTGTGGCAAGGCCCAGCAAGTGCTGAGCACTGCACAGGCTTGCCCCAACAGCCTGCTCCCGTTCCTTCCATGCTGCCAGCCACCTCTGAGTTTGTTATCTGGCACAGGAGAAGGAAGAGCACTTTTGCAGTGATGACAGATAATAATGATAGAAAATGCTCACTTCGGACAATCAAGAGATACCAGCATCTACTTTCGAAGGACTTCAACCTGATGCAGTGCACTATCCTTTAAATATTAAGGTCTGAATGAACTCTCTAAATGTTGCAGTGTTTTGTAATGTTAAAATTACATCTTTCTGTCTGAAGAAACACTGGTTACTGAAAGTGCCTCTGTTGTAGCATATCTTCAGCACTACTGCATGCTTAACTAATTCAGCAGAACTGTTGAAGATGTGGAGAATGATTATTCTTTTCATAAAATATTAATGTTCAGTAAAGTGAAAATACTTTATTCTTTTAAGAATTAGAAGTTTATTATATCTAATATATAGAAATAAAAATAGGAGAATTTCCCTGGACTCTAGCATATTACTGCACATCTCTTGAGCATCTCCAAGAGGTGAAGTGAAAATGTTGAAAATAGAAGCATCACAATTTTGGATTTATAAACCAAAATCAAAAGTTATAAGACTGAAAATGTAAACGCAAATATTACATTTGCAAAAGGACCTCCTCTTATAAATGTAGAAGAAACTCAAGCCTCTAGAGAAAAAGCTTGAGAAATGAGTGCAGCATCCACCTATAGTCATTATAGAATAATTAGCACGATGTTAAGACCCAAAAGAACTATATACTGCTGTGCATGTATATTATACTTGCTCAGTTGTATATATTTTAGAATAAAATAGCCTCATATGAAATTGTTATTAGTTGCATGGAGCACTTCAAAAGGTTGAAGAAGTATCTCAAGGACCTATATAATATTCAGGAATAATGGCTTTTTAAACACTATTCTAAGATTTTTTTATGCAGTGCTTTCTGATAAAAGATACTACACATAATTTTTTTTTCTTTCTCCCTTTTAGTTTCCACTTTCTTCTCTATTAGGTTGAGATGTTCGGGTAAGAAACGGGGAAGACATTTTAAATCTATTCTGTAACCTTATTTGGTCTGAATGCAAATGACTGCATTTGAATACAAGTAACTAATCAATCATTCCTGTGCTGTGTGTTGAGACAAAAACATGTGTTTTTCAGTAATAGTGGCATAACAAAATCAGGGGAAAAAAGCAATACTATTAAGATTCAGCTTTGCTAGCAGCTAGCTTTCATTCACTGTGCTGCAAGGAAAATGACATTCATCAGGTGTCAGGCTCACTTGGTTTCAGTGGCACACTTGAGGAGAGATCCAAGGTGGGTCCCTAAGGAAGCCCTCAAGGCCTGGCTGACCCAAGTACTGACCGGTTACCAAGACCTGACTCCTGGTACCCCAAGGAGCATGAGACGCTTCTCTGCTGTTTTTGCACTCTCTGGGATATTCATCCTTGTGCTGCAGATGTAAGCTCATCTCTAGGTCTTTCAGATCAGTGCATTATTCCCACCCTCTCCCTGAGCTGGGTCTTGCACTGTTCTGCTGGCAGTGCCACACTCTGACATGGGCTGCTCCAGTACCTTGGGCCCAATCCAGTACTGCAGCCTGGCTAGACTCAGCATCTAAAATCCATTAGTAGGTCATAAAATCATCACAAATATATTTTCAACCCGCCTGTGCCACTGAGCTGGGAAATAGTGAGGCAAGCACCATTACATGAGGAACAGGATGGCTGAGGAGTGAGTGGGTTTTCCTCCAAGACCTCTTTTTCTTTCTTCCATGTATTTTAAAATAATCCACTTAAACATGTGCCTCTCTGCTGTTCACCTTCACCCCATTAAAGTAATTGTATCCTAGTTTTTAAAAGCTGGACATGGAATAAACTGTAGTTTTCGGTGAGCTGCAATTATCCATGCTATATGGAAGTAGCAATATCAAGAAAAATGTAACCACCTTTCTGCTGTGTAGCCTGTGGGTATTTTTAACCTTACTGAATATGTGAAGGCATCTAAATTGCGTCATCTGTGTTACAATTGAGATTTTTTTAAGATAATCGACAGCAAGACATACAAAGTTTGGTAATCAAAAGGAAGGAATGCACAGGTTTTTAACCGCAGAAGACTGTAAGAATGGCATATATAGTGTTGGCACACAGCTCTCTCTTTTCCTGCTCCAGAAAAGGAGGGGAGCAGCTATGTGAAATGCTAATAATCTCACTGTGGTTTTGAATAGACTAGACTTGAGAGCCTTGAGTATTTTTCCTTTTCTCTTTTAACTGCAATTTTGTTATTGTATTGCTGCCCCCATCTCTGCTAAATATGGCTTTTGAAATGTAAATCATATCATGTTCTCAGAGATGCATATGACACCCTCAGCACTGTTCCTCTTTGCACTTCAAAGAGCTGTGTGGTCACACTTTGCATCTCAGCAAAATCGCAAGATTTGCCTTCTGAAGATCTCCTTTAATGTGTACAATCAATCCCTGATAATGTATTTTGGGTTTTTGTTCCCTGGAGTCTGTTAATTTTAGTGTTGCTACAGGTCATCAGGAAACATAATCTCTTCTTTTTTAATTTCTCAGTGAGCTTGCCTGAGGGAAGAGGAACACAAGAGAGGAGAGACAATTGAACATCACCATTGGCCAAGACCTGAAAAAATGGTGCTGGATGAACACAGGATTAGAACTTAATTGTAAAAGGGAAGGGAACTCTTGACAGGCGATTTGCTTCATTTCCACATTCATCATGGCACAAATCCTCTGGCTGGCTGGTTGATGGGACTGTCCAACACTTCTGCTTAGGTTCAGTGCAGATCCCTTCTGCTTACACATCGAAAGACCTGGGAACAGGTGGGAACTGGATGGTGCCAAATACAGGAATGGAAAGAGAAATGGACTCTGACAAGTTAAGATGGAAGTGACTTGACAGCACCAAGCTCGGCAGTTGTCTCCAGTAAGGACAGGTTGAGACGGGAATCTCAAGCTTCTCTGGAAGAGCAGTATGCAGGAAGCTGGTTTTCAGGCCACAAATGCTTTCACAGGTAAGGATTTCTGTTCTAGTTCTGCTCATATTCTTGGGACAATTTACTGAAATTTAGAAAATGAATAGGTCCTAACTGTGGTTAGCATCTTGTAGTACTTTCAGTTTAAATAGTGTTTTTAAACAATTCACTTGGAAGACCAGTTCAACACTTGTATTAGCAGTGAGGAACACAGCTATCCATCTTTCAGCTTTCAGAAATGGATGGCCACGGGCCTTGGGGAAGGTTTATCTCAGCTTTCCTCGTTAAAGTACTCATCAACAGCTTAACCATGAGTAGTCCCTTGGGTCTACTATAAAATGTAGTCTGTAAAGTTGCCCTTGTGCTCAACAGAGGAGTTTGGTGAGGCTGCAGGATGGGCATGGTTCATGTCAGGAGGCTTCTCAGAAACATGCCAGAACTTGCCAGGTACCCTCTCTTTGTACTCCCCTTTCCACACCACTAACCTGCTGCAGTGCTTGAACTGGCTAAACTGGAGGGTTTAAATGGTAACTGTTTCACCTCGGTTTGCTGTGTTTCTCTGTAGATGGATTGAAAAGAATGTAATGGGAAAAAGGATGTCACAGGGGTGTGACTTTCTGAGGAAAGCTCCCTCTAGTGTAAAGTCTGCTGGAGTTCGTATAGTGCTTTCTCTGTATGGGATTGTTTCTGATTTGACAGGTGGGAGGAGGAAAAGAGGATGAGCAGATCCTGCTGCTTTGTTTGCATGTCTGCCAGCCAGCTGAGATGCAGCAAAAAATGCATAGAAAGATCAACTGGATATTGCTCTTGTTTTAGTAGGTCTAGATAATGGATTAGTACCACGTTATAAACTAGTGATGTGCAAGACATTTATTTTTCTAATAGAAAAGATTTGCCTTTAGAAGGAGTTTTGGCTGCAGTGGGGAATGATTCTTTGTCCAGCTGTCTGCACCAGCACAGCGGTTTGGAGTGGTGGTGCAGCTCTGAACTGTCTCTGTTGCCTTGCTTTGATTTACAGCCTGGTTTCTGTGCATGTCAGACGTGTCCCGAAGGAGAGGAAACAGGAAGCTTTCCTCCACATGTGCTCCAGTGCTGATGGGAGATGGGAAGTCTGGGATAACTGCAGGGCTCTCCTTCCTCTGTCTAGCCAGCAGCACACTCCTAAAGCTCCCCACTGCTGTTTTTGTCCTGTTTGTTCTTGCTGCTCTCTGCCAGTCCTCAGCTATTTCCTAGGAGGTTTTGTCACTCTTTTGCTTTCCACCAAAATTCCCAACTGTGAGGATATCTGCTATCTTCCTTACTCTGGCTTTCTTCTTTGCTGGAGACCCTATTACTTCTAACACCCTTGTAATACTATATTATATTCTACTATTTTCTGTCCAGTTTTACACTCTTCTGCCACTGTGTCTGCTATCCCTTAGCTCCCAGAAGTTGGCACTGTGACCAGGGTGCTTGGGCAGGGGTGTGTCAGAAAGCTGGTAACCTCATGACTGCTGTTGGATGGAAAACACCTGGCAAGCAGAGCTGCATAAAATTCAGAGAGATGAAACTGTGGTCCCTGGAAGCCCAGGACAACAGTCAGACTGTGGTGGAACCCAGAAGATTCAGAGCTATTGTGGAGACTTAAAGGCATGAAGGTTGCTTGCCCTCCTGTAAAAAATTCTTATATTCCTTTGGAATTGCCCTTAGGTAAAGATGTTAATAAACATATTCAAATCTTGGTAGCTGTACTAAAGAATTATTAAACATTAAGGTGCACCATACATTCAGGAGACTTGTTAAAGAAACAGGTTGAATTATATTTTCTTTGTATGAGGACAAAACTTCCAACTTGTATCAAATTGATATCTGTATTTACTTTTTGGAGATCTTTCTTGTTCCTTGTTAGATTTATATGACGTACTCAGCAATAATAAACAGGAGGTAGATATATATTTCTCAGAGAATTCCATTGGACTGTGTTTTGCTAATTTAGGAGTTGCAAATAGAATGTAATGTCAGGTGCATGTGGTTGCTCCTCTGATCCTTGCTGTAGTGCTCCTTTTGTTTTGTTGGAGTGCCAGTTTAGCTGTAGTAGAGAACAATATCTGCTAGCAGCAGAGGGGGCATGGCCACATGCAAAGGGAGCTAATTTGTACAAAAAAGCTTTCATATCTGAAGCCTCTGTGGTGTCAACACTGAATCTAGACATCCTAAGTGATTGCAGCTATTGCAACAACCAGAGTAATAATTTCAATTTACAGCTGACTAGAGTGCTGGCAAAAGAAGCCTGGGAGGACAGAGCCTCTATGTAGCCACAGTTGGAGTATTTCCTAAACCTCCTTTCCACTTTGCTAATTGCTATGACCTGGAAAGGTTTACAGTTATGGCTAGGAGATATTTTGATCCTGTCTGTATGCTCATTTTACTGGCAGTGCTGCCAGAGATTCCCTTTTTTGCAGATGGCTCTTGTGCCGAGAGGTGGACTCACCCAGTCATTTTGTCACGTATTACCAAACAGTAGCAAACATTTAGAGTATTTTCACTTTACGGGCTAAATACAAAATTCAGTAGATCATGTGAGTGTAACAGGTTCATTATTACAGAATGTAGAAAGAGCAGTGGAAGGGAAGTGCTCCTAAGCTTGATGATGAAAGAGATGGCCCAGCCTATGATGGTAAAATACAATTTGAGTGGTAGCAATCAGGAGAGAGTGAGCTTGTCATTCTTAGAGGCTAGAAAAGAGAATTTGAGAATAAAAGCAATAGTATGCAAGAATGTAGATTGCACTGAGCTCATAGAACTGATAGGTAACGTTTCTTGGGATACTAACCTGAGAAATTCTGGCAATTTTAAAAGGAAAGAACTTTTTCTTTCCTAGTCATAATAAAGCCCAGATGAAAGGCATTCCAGTAAAAAAGGATAACAAGAGACAAAATTGTATGATCTGATAATTGAGGACTCATACAGAAGGTGGCAACTCGATATGTTACTGGAGATGAGTGCAAAAGAAGATGAGAAAAATGAGAGGGTCAAATCAGGTAGGCCAGTTCACAGAAAAGGTACAACTAATAAAGGGCATGCTAATAAAGAAACATACTATATTCTCAGTAGTAATAAGAGGAAGACTGAGTTTCTGGGCTACTAGTTGACAGGGAATTACAAAATGTCAGTTAAAAAGCTCATGATCTGATGGTGCAGAGAGGATTGAGTAGTTCATGTCATTTTTTGTGTCATTCTTTGCCTAAAAGGGTGATCTGTAATCAGGTGGCAGGAAAAGAACTGTGACCTTGAGAAAGGTAAGAATTCCAACTAGGTCAGGAAAAGAGCAGGTTATAAACTAATGAGATAGGATAATGGGTGCTTTAGAAGAAGGTGGAGTTTATTAAATTATCTCTTCAACATAGAGTGAAATAACTGAAGCAATCTCTGAACAATTAGTGGCTACACTGGAGAGCATTTGAAGGACAGTTTAGGTTCAAAAAATCTGTGAAAGAGCAAACACTGCACCTACATATATACACTCTTCTGGGTCCTTCCCTGCCCCCCTTTGGAGTAGCTATCTTGTCTTATATTCTTGGGGAAAAAAGTTTGAATCAAATAGTCAACTGAATTTTTTAATAATTAGCCTGTAGATAGTAATATGATAAATGAATTTGCATGGATTTTTTTCCCCAGAAGGTACCTTGTCAGTGGAATCTAATTTTCCTGTAAGTAGAGAAATAATATATTTCGATTTTTGGAAGTCTTCTCAACTTCTGATAAACAAGGTGGCACAATGGGCTACAAGGTGGGTACACAGTTGGCTGAAAAGCTCTTCTCAGAATAATTACTAGTGATTTGCAGTCAAACCAGAAGGATCTGTCAAGTGGGATTCTGCCCTGGATTGCCAGAAAATATTCAATATTTTAATTAATGATTTAGATGATAGAATCTGCATGCAAAATTTCCAGATGACACCAACCAGGGGGAGGATGTAAACCCTCTGAGCACAGGATTAGAATTCAAAATTAATGTGATATATTGGAGAACTGATTTGAAATAAATATGATGCAGTTCATCAAGGACAAGTTCTAAATTGTAGTTTGACAGGAATAATCAGCTGTGCAAATCAAAATGTAGAATAACTGGTGAGACACCAGGTCTGCAAAAAACAGATGGGCAGTTGCAATAGTTCAGAAAATGGCTATGAATCAACTATACTATGCCATGAATATTGTGCGAGAATATATGGACAGGAGTCTGCCTGCAAAATAATTTTTCCACTCTACTTGGCATTTGTGTGGCTATTTCTGCTCTGAGCAGCACTCTGTGGGGCCTGTTGGAAGCATCCAGAGAAGAGCAGAATGGATGGCCAGAGGTCTAAACAACATGACCCTTGGGAACTGGAAAAAGTGTCTTTTTCACACTAGAGCAGTAACTCTCAAACTTTCTGAGGGTTTTTTCCTTAGGTTTCCAGGAGCAGTGCAGATTTGTGTCAGGGCATGTCTGATGCACTGAGCTGCACGACAAGATGTGGCCTGACACAGCAGTGCTTTGGTGTGATGGTCAGAAGGACTTTCTTGCTTGCACACAAAGTTCTGCACCTTCTGCACTGGCCATTCTCAGTGCCATGCCAGTGCTGGGATAACAGAGGTGGAGATTCTGGACAGCCAAGGTCTGCTTTTGAAATCAGGCACTTCCTTCACTAGTTTGTGTTTTGGGTGCTCGTTTAGAAGAACAGTGTAATTCTGAAGTCTGCTCTCCATCACTGGGAAGTGTGTGGCACAGAGACATCCAGGATGATCAAAGGATAATGGGAACACTGTGGGATAGATTAGGAATCAGTGTATGGAGCCTCCTGACCTTGCAAGGTCAGCCTAGGTTCATCAGGATTTTATTAACTCCATCTCAGCACAAGCTCTCTCAGACCTGGGCTGACTCAGAGGCATTCCTGCCCTGTGACCCTCAGCACTGCTGGAGGGATTATTAGTTCTGGCACTATGGAAACCAGAATAAATAGTAAGAGGTTGCTCTGTGCAGTGGGCCCCTGCCCTTCAGTCTAGCACTGACTTTTCCTG